TCTAGTGCATCTTTAAAAATAGTTGAACCTGAATCTAAATTCTTTGACTATATCCTGTCAGTTTTTCTACAGCGTCAATGTAAAATCCTGCATCTGAGCTGGAATAACCCCAGGCAACAGTCCAAGCTGACTAGGTAGCAGCTTGGCAAAGAAAAAAACAGATGTGTTTGTGGACAAGTTGGACATACGTTAGCAGGGTGCTTTTGCAAAAGTGATGGCCAACTGCGTATTGCGCTGCATTAGCAAACCACCACCAGAAGGCTGGAAGAAGTGATTATTCCTTTTTGCTGAACGCTCATGAGGCCACTTCTCAGTATGGCGTCCAATTTTGATCCCTCTCCAATATAAGAAAGACCTTGACAAATTACAGTATGACCAGTGGAGGGCTGCTAAATGATCAGAAGACTGAAGGACAGGATGTACCAGGATGGGTTGAAGGAACTGGGCTTGTTCAATGAGGAGAAAGGAAGGCTTAGGGGTATTTTTGTTGCTGTATTGAACTACCTGAAGAATTGTTACAGAGAAGACAAAGTCAAAGAGGTGCATAGAGAAAGGATAATGGCAACCGTCCCAAGTTGCAATTTCACTGCTGTATCTTCTGGTGTTCTCATTGGTACTATCCCAAGCTCTTCAGCTCTGCTTTTTCTTTTTAGTGGACCCCCTCTAATAAATCTCTCCAGGTGTGGTCTGTGAATTCCACTCAACAAGATCAAAAAGCAGTTGTTATAGTCAAGCAGAGAGAACTTCCCCTGCCTGAGCCCTTGGTTTCTCCCAGAGCTTTCAGGCACATCAGAGTCTCTTTTTATCCCATACTTCAGGAAAATGCGACTGGCCATGTGCCAGTACCGATGTTCCATGATTCCCAGCTGAGCATGTGAAAAGATGATACAAAGCATTTGTCTCCACAGCTTAAAATATCTGCCCATGCTTTTGCTACCTGTCATCTTCCTAACCTTCTCAGGAAGCTCTTGCAGGCAATTTCCTCACTTCATAACTGGATTTCTTGCTGCTGGCTATTTTGGGTTCTGCCTGGGGGATACCTGCAAAGCTAAGGATCATGTGGCCAAGGCTTGCAGTCATGGATAGGAGGGTAGTAGGTATTGCAGAGAATGCGTATGTGAGGTGGGACAGTGGGTCTCCCCGTGTGGTGAGAGGAGGCTGTTGAATGATCTCCATTAGCTGTTGCGCAACTGGGCTATTCTCATCTGCTAAATAACAAAACATCTCAAGCAAACACAAATTCAGATAATGGATTCCTGTGATCACCATATTTTTCTGAAATAACATCACTGCACATTAATGCCAGCTTTGATTTGTTTCATTTGATTCTGGCTTCTTTTTTTGAAGGTGAAAAGTGTAGCTGAAGGGACCAATGGCGAAATTAACTTTGCACAGTAAATTACATCTGCATTATGTTTTAAATAAGCTACTGCTATTTTAAATCAAGCTCCTTTTCCTTCAGTGTTCTTAATTATATAAGTGCTGTGCTCCAGAACTTTCTATTAAGCAAAGTGTTTTAAAATGAGTCTTAAATAATTTAAATATCTCTTTTCTGAAATACATCCTTTCCTGGAAGAATTTTTGTCAATTTTATGCCTTCTTGGGAAGAAAATAAAACAGAGAAAGTATTTTATTATTCTATCAACAGTCTTACAAGAGCAGGAAAAAATGTGCAACAGTAATATTCTCCATTTGACAGCAGGCACACACTAAGAAAAATCTATAATAACGTAATTTGCCTTCTTCACATCCCTCCCAACTCGAATGAAGTTAAAAAAAACAAAGAAAAACGGGAGACATTTCTTATTCCAAATTGATGTGAAGGAGGATGTTGTATTTGTTGTCGGTCTGAAGCCTGCCTGGCTTCAGCTAGTACTTCTCCCTCCAGGAGAAAAGGGACCTGGAGCCTTGATATCAGCACCCTGATACTGGAGACAGAGAAGTGAATGCAGCCCAACTCCTCCTCATGAAAACTTTATGGCTTTAGTGTAGACTGGGCACCTGCTCTGACAGGCCAGGAGTTTGTCCTTTCCCTGAATGGAAGACAGTTTAGTCCCATTCTCCAGCAGTTATGCCCCAAAGTTATGTAGCAACAGCACAACACAGGTCTGAAAATGCCTGGTACTGGCCTGTGGGGAATGGACTGAATGTGGTGTTACTGCTCTCCCTGAAGGAAATTAGCTGTGACGCAAAGGGGACGTAACACAGTGGCAATGACACCGTAGTCTGCATGACACACCTTCTTTTGATAAGGCCCCACCGTTCCTTTAAATCATATTGGGAGTGTACTTACACTACCACCCCTACAGATTTCCCCAGGTGTGTTAGTCAGCGAAATTAGGTGATGTACACCTTTATTTCACCTGATCCTATTAAGCTCCTCCTTAGGAGGAGGAGAATGAGATGAAGTGAGTATGACCATGTTGACACGCAAATTAGTTTTCCAACAAATGGTAGTACTAAGTATTTCTTTGGTCTGTAATATATGAAGGAGACCAGAAGAGACAGATGTCATGATAAACAAAGTTCGGCCCAAACGTAAGCTGCTGGAAACGGATTTCCATGAAACATGTCATGCTGTGACTGGAGCAGGTTCATGTCATTGGGTTGTACATCTCCAGCACTCTGAGGGATGGCTGGATGGCGACCAGCCCCTTCCAGTCTCCAGCTCTGCACAGATGATGCAGTCATACCCAGTCACTGACTTAACCAGATACAGAACTGCACCCAAGATTGTAAGATGCTTTCTTCTTGGGTGAGTGCAATGACTTTGTGCCTTGGTGCTTTCCTACGACAACTCGCTGGTGCACTTTCTGCCCAGAGAGCACTGCAATGAACTGAATCACTTCTAGACTGTAACAACACATCAAGGGCGTGCCATGACAGCAAGCAATGCCACGCAGCTATTTATGCTACAATAAAGAGGAAGCAAATATAAACTCTAGGTATTACGTATGAGATGCTGTTTCTTCAGATATAAAGGTACAATAATATTCAAATACGATATTGTTGTTTGATTCAGATAGGAAGCAGTGTCGTTTCTAGAATAGCTAAGTAATGTATGTGAAAGGAACTTAAAGCCAAAAGAGTGCAAACTGACAAAGGAAAACCTAAAAAGATGACAGGGACGATGCCTGTCTCTGTGTTTGAGATTGGGCACACACACTGCCCTCTGACGCAGTAACTCGCCTCAGAGAAGGCGAGGTCGTGTCTAACCTCAGCAGTGGGGCGCTGTGGCTGCATGGCTGCATTGCAGTTATAAGGTGTAAGACTGTACAAGTGCCATCTGAACACTTCCTAATGATCACATCGAAGCAGGACAAAAATACATCTGGTTCCTGGGAAATTAGGAGACAGGTCCAATATTTGCATAAGTGGCTATGGTTTCCTGGGGCACAACCACTGAATTTTCAGGAGCAAGAAACCTAAATAGGAATCTGCTCCCCTCCTCTTTTAAGTAGCTCCCATGGAAAGGCTCCCTGGGCTCACACTAATCAGAGGCAAAGTTATACCAAGTGTCATCCAGAGCAACAGCAGGGAGAATCCGAGTAAAAGCAGGCCACTTCAGCATCTGGCAGGGTCTGTTTAGCACAAAACATGATTACAATCCAGAGTGTTTATTCATGCTCACATTGCACAACTCGGTTGTTTATACCAATAAATGTCTCCTTCTTTGTGCAATGCACGTTGAGGTTCTGAAGGCCACATTTGGTTTAAAGTCCTCTTCAATAACAGTAAAGAAGAAATTGGTTTACAACTTTATGCTCCAAGTGATCCAAAGCCTAATTATTCTGATGCATTTGCTAACAGAAGATTAAGCATAGTTCTACTGATGCCAGTGATGTTATGCTGCCCCTCAATGAACATAAACAGAAAGATGAACAGGCCCATGATATTTCATGGCAGCAAGGGGGTCATATACCATCATACTTGCTGTATTATGCAGCACACTACATCTGAGTTCTAGTGTCTATCAAAATATGTAACTAATTATTTCCTGATGCTTTTGGAAATCAAAGCTCAGTTAAAAAGTTGGGTTTAGGTTGATTTTTAGGCATTCTGTCACAAAAGACAGAACAGCAAACAACACATACCTAACATGTAAACTGGCAAATTCAAATGATCCCACAGCCCAGTCTGTCTTGTTCTTCTATTGGTCCTTTTTGTCTCATATTTTAATTTGAACTCTGTGAGCCAAAATAAAAACCCCCTCTGTTCTAAGTTTGTCTAGCGCTTACACGAGAAGGTCGTGAGAAAGACTCCTAGGCACTCATAAGATAGTAATACTACTAGTAAACTACTAGTAATACTACTGCTGCTGCAGTACTGTGAATGCCTATAAATGTCCTTTTGAAGCAGAGATGGCAATAGGTTTGGGGGAAGAAAGAGGACTGGGTTTTGAAGACACGCTGGAAATACTAGTGGCTGTGGTTAAACAACCCACCCACCCTTTGATGGCAGGCAGATGGTGAATTTGGGGGTTTTTGTCACTCAGTAGGTTCCCCCTTCACACTACCTCTAACCAAAGCCTGCCACTTCCTCTGCTGTCTTTGCTCCAACAAAATGTTCCCTTTGTGCTGTTGCAATCCACTTTCCTCTAAAGATCCCATGGCGACTTCTGGTGCTCATCACCGTCTGGTGCATTCCAAATCCTTACCGTGCCCACAAAGCCTTTGTGCGAAAGGAACAAATGCTGGTGGTGGCTGAAGTGTCCTCCCTTTCCTAAGCAGGTACACATTTTAGCATGCCCGTCATTACATCATTTTACATCACCTCTGTATTTGGAACTCCCTGAGAGATGAATAAGCAGCTGGCACCGTCTCTGGGTATTGGCATGATGGGCTTTCCTGATGATTTTTTGCCAAAAGACATTTCTCCAACAAGGAGAACTATCAAAAAAACTAATGTGCTGCTAGACATAAACCAAAAGAAAATGCTTTCCTGCTAGAAATGGCATAAGTAATCAAAAGTGAAAGATGACAGAAAATCACTGTACTTACTATGTGTCGTGCTGCAAACACTCCATCAACTATTGCACAACAGAACGCAGCTACCACGCCAAAGCTGATAAACACGATGGAGGCTACTAACTGAGAAAAGAAAAACAGATTGAGTAATGTTTTCAATATAATTCTTTAAGTAAAACAATCACACTAATTTTTCTAGTATTCTTAAACGACGTTTTCCCCTACTGTAATTCACTTTAGATCAGTGTGGCAGGATGCCAGTCACGCAGTAGGAAAAAGGCAGAAATTCTTGATGCTGGGTTGACATACCATCCAGTCTACTAGAAAAGCTTAAATCCTTTCTAGAGAAAATTAGGTTAGCTGTAAGAGTTATTAAATTCCATGGTGATTTCTTCTAAATCAACTTATTTACTAAAACAGCAGTGGTGTCCATAGGGAGCATGGCAAAAAGCCATGTTCCTGTTGGCTCACATCAATCTCTAGAGCTTTACTACAGTAGTAGTAGTTCACACATACAGATAAAGACATTGTAGTAAGTTAATAACTAGCCTGTGAACGCTCAGAAAACTTTTATCATCCCAAATAGCTTATGATACCTTATGCCACAACAAAATCAGAGACTCATAGGACTGGTACCTCTGGAAGGGCTGGAGTGTGCTGCCTTGGCCCCTGCCCTTGTTGGGGCTCTCAGCCTGTCCCTCAGCCTCAGAGTGGGCACGGCAGAGCACAGCAGAGCTCAGTACATGTCCCAGCTGCAGCGCAGACAGTACACTGTCTTTGATAGCCTACCAGCCGTAGCTTCCTGAACCTCATTTTACCTCCCAAGCTGCTTCATTCATTAAGCATTATTAATTCTTTATTAATGGGGCTGCAGATGGCGTAACGCTAGAGCACTGCTCTAGCACAAGCAGTGGTGGTAGGCAGGGCTTGGGGGGAAAAGGCTGTGCAGGTTGGGCATGCTGAGCCCCCTGCTAGCCGTGCTCACTTTGTGTCCGAGGATGACTACAGCTGCAGCTCTAGCAGCAACTGCAGGGCTAGCACAACCCCAGATATGGCAAGCTTACTGCCCAATTCACTCTGAAGAGAGCAATAGGACTTGGAAAGGATGAGCACTGGTATGCATCTCCATCAGAGACCAGTCAGTGTGCTGTTAGCGCACACTCTTGAGACGGCACTGGCTTGTTTTGAGGGTATGTCTGAAGGATGCAGTGCCGTGAGCGAGGTGAGGTAAAGTGAGTCCTGAAAGAGAAACCCTGTGTACGCCTGGCAAGGTGCTCCCCTTGGGCTCATTAGCCCCAACACCATCAGATGAGGGAGAGATGCTGTCACTCCTTCCTCACTCAGATTAGAGGGTTTTGTGACTTTGAGAATTCTGTACCTTGAGTTTGGATGAGTGGGTACCTGCAGGATATAAGGTGAACCTAATGTGCATTCTCTAGCTATGTTTTTAATATAATTTAATGTACATCTCTCAGGTCTCTGGCATTTCTGACGTGAAGTCACAAAAGGAACCCTCAGAAACATCCTACATGATAGCTTAATTTTTATTTACAACAGTATTAAGTTATAGTTAATAACTGCAACAGATTAAAAAACTCCCTTGAAAACCGACAGAACAGTGTCCTTAATTGATAGAGCACACGGACCGGGGTTTCAGTTAAGAATTTGGAACCTCTTTGTTATTTACCAGTCATTAATTGCTCCTTCACAACATGTATTTCAGAAATGCTCAGGTATAGACTGCCAAAATTACATCCATACAGTTCATATATCCCTTTTACCTATACAAAATTCAATCTGCATTACCTAAATACTATCTTCACATGTTTAAAATTTGTAAGGCATCACAAACCCACTTGACAAATGGACTCTTTAGCTTATGTTAGGCTTAGAACAGTACAATGTCAATAGTGTCAACAGGGGATACAGCATTGGTGACTTCCTCAAAAAAATGCATATTGGGCAGGTAAGAAATTACAGCCTTGTAAGCCCATAGCATTGGACGCAAAGATCAAAGCAATATCAAACATTTGGAAATAAGAGCTATTGGGGAATCAGCAAAAAATGCAACTTAAAAGCAGAAGAATCACAGCTTTCAAATGCTTTCTGATCCACTCTTTTAACTTCTCATTAGGTCATGGCTCTTAGATCATGTAATCGGAGGCGAGCCAGCACTGCCACAGGGATTGCTGTGTAATCTGAATCCTCAGCGTGGGGAGGAAAGGGGCACACAGAAGTGGCAGAGGCTGATGGCACTGCCTGATCTTGGGAACCTGCTGCATCCCCCCTGCAGCCAGCTCCATCCTGCTGTAAGGAGGCAGGAACCCTAAGAAAGCATTGTTGGCTGCATCACCCTTCAACCTCCACTATCCTTCGGCTCCCCAGTATGGCGGGTCATGTCTCATGAATCTGGTTGTCTAAAGTTCTTGGCATGCAACTCATCAGATCAAGAAGGCTGTGGGCTCCTTGTAGAGAGCTATTATCACTGCAGACAAGAGGGCTGTGCTGCCCTGTGGCAGCTGCATTTGCTACAGACCCTGATCTCTTTATTTGAAAAAGCAGCAGTGTTTAAAAGTTCAGATTAAGTCATTATTGTCTGATACCTCTTTCTTGTTTTTCAAGTCATAGCAGTCAATCAAATAATTAGTGGGCTTAGCCAGGTGTTTCCAAATCGCCTGAGCTCAGGATGAATTTACTGGAAGCTGACCTCAAGGTGGCTTTTCATTTCACACATGAGCAACTTATTGATGATCTACAGTCTCCAAACCAACATTTTCCACTCATGGAGACAGCTTAAATCACCTAATGAGTATGCTGGCCTTTCAGTTTCACCATATAGCTATAAGAGACCACATATAAAGGTGCACAGTAATTTGTAATATAGACAGGAGCTATGGAGTTGGCTTTGCACTCCTCAGTCATGTTGGTGGGCATCTACCCATTCAAGGAGTTGCGTGCAAGTCAAAGGTTGTCAGCCAGAGTCTGCTGTTCTTATCCATGCCTACTAGCAACTACTTCAGTAAGTGGTCCCTTTGAAATGAAGAGGACCATTTCTTGACTGAAGTAAGATTTATTACAATGCTGAAGTGGCAGAATGTGACACTCAGGGGTTCTTATGACTTAAATTGACTTCTACATGTATTAGAATGATAAAAGAAGTAATAATACAAGAACAACAAAAAGAAATCCTTAAAATAAAATTACAGATTTATATTCTCTCTCAAACCTCCCATTGCTTATTGAGAATGTGAGAAACACATCAACAAAGTACAAAACTAATTACTTCTAAAAATTGCAGCCAACACAGCCAAATGAAGGGCTGTTGTAAATTCAAAAGCTAATTTTCCTGAGTGGTAGGTGATTGCTGGCGTTGTGAGTTCACGAGCCTAGCACTGTGAAGAAAGAAAAGCAGTGCAGTTCATTTAAACATAGAGAATTTGTTAGGTAAAAGAAATAGCACTTCTAAAAAAATAAATACTGATCCATCACATCATCTCATCTCCGTTTTTAATAGCAGTATGTTTTGTCAGGAGAACTATTGATTATTTATAACAACATATTTTAACAGTTATTCAATAAACGGTTTTGCTCTTGCTGTTCCATTGCTCTGCAGCCAGGCTTCTCTACAGCTATTATTATCAGAACATGTTTACTCCTAGTTCTGGTACAGAATACAATAATTTGGATATTTACAAGGGAACCATGAAACCAGCTATTAAACAGTGAAAACTGTACTGCGTGGTCCTAACAATCAAAACCAAAAGCCAGTTTTTTATCAGAGGTGTTTTAGCAAAAGGGAGAGCAAAAGAGCACTTAGAATGAGGGACTTTTGCACATAGTGTTAACTGAAGAGCTGTTATCTTCAGTCATGTTACAGAAATATGAAAACACTCAAAAATGCGAAACTAGTGAAAGGCTGGACTGCATGCTGCCTTCTTTCAGAAGAGGCATGCATTTTATTGCAGAATTCACCTGCCTTAGACAACCTCTTGTCCTTCAGCAGGCATACAGCAACACTGACTGCACTCTGTTGCTCTCCTGTGCAAGTGAGCCTAGTGAAGGCAACAGAGCCAGGGGACACCCCGTGGCCACGCAAGCTCATCACGGATGCTGTTCAGCTGTCAGAAATGCACCTGGCATGGGTACTTGGCAACTAACAGTCTCCCACAACGATTCCCAGGCATGGTTCTGGCCACAGACCAGACCCAACGGGGAGGTTGATGCGGCCACCCTAGCTGCAGCCACGTTCTCATGTAACCACCACATCTCAGGTCCCCAGGCACTTTGTGTGCTGAATCACACGCTGCTGGTACCGTGTCCCCGCTGTGTGACACGTGGAGACATGCAACCAACGTTTGCCAGCAGACACGCAGAAAATCACATCGCTCCCCAGCATAAGCACCCTCTTGCTACAGGCTGGTACCTCGCTGGCTGTTTCCAACATTCCTGTGAAACACCTCTGTGAGGCTCGCTAGGCTCCAGGTCTCCATTCCCGCACGTACCTGGTTTCCTCATGGCTCTAATTTAGCCCTTACCTGCCCTCAGTCAAAAAGCCCAACTGCTTAGATAGTGACAGTCACTTCTAGCACCAGATGCTGTGTGAGATGCCTCATTCTCTCGATTTAGACTAAGTAGATCTGTGACTTTGGAAAATGCTGGATTTTTGTTTTCGAAATTACCTCAGTATCAGATATAAGTTACATTATATCTAACAGACTCACTTTGTTCATGCTAAATGGTGATTTTTGCATTGCACAGCCTCCAATGTCTCCAAGCATCGTGCTGTTCATCAAGTCTCTCTGGGATTTTTTTCCAGACAGAGGAAGAATCACAATTACCCTCACCAATGTAAATTGAGAAACACTGTCACCCAATACCTTTTGCTCTGGAAAGTGAAGGCTTTGCAAAAGGCTGTGTAAATGTTATGCCACAGGTTTGTAAAGCCCTTTTTATCCCCACACAGGTTCAGGCAAATGTATTTGGAAAAGAAATGCATGGGGCAGTTTGTTGTAGCCTGCCCCTAACATTACATTCCCCAAAATACAGTTTAATTCTGTGGGCCTTTTTACTGGTTTGATTTCCCTCTCTCTCCAAGGTCCAAACGTAATACAGGCTTAAATAAA